CTCCAAATTTGCGACGACTAGAGTTGATCGACTCTTTTCGTAAGTCATGCCAGTAGTAGTTGTAAACATCAAGGCCTTCCAAATTGACTTTCTTTTCATGGAGAAATGCGACTTGCACGAGAATATTGGACTGTATGGCTAATCGATAATACTTGTTGACTTTAATCCAATCTCATCCCAAATTCAACTTCGCAAATTCAAGTCGTGCCTTCCTTTGGTGGCCGGTAAGCCTCGAAGCCCTCTTCATTGCTGCCCCGACAAGGCTGTTGCTCTTTCACAGCTCCCCATTCAGTAGTTTTGGACACCGAGAGACTCAACTCCGATCGAATTTGTTCAACGACAAAGTTTTGTCCGAAATAGTTTTTGGCATCCTAGTCTCGTCGTTTGAAGTTAGCATGCGCGGGCATGCTGTCCTCGTGGGAGCTCTGTAGTCCTCGAATATCTTTGAACGAAGCTGAGGGATCTCACGATTCTCCTTCTAATTGCTCTTGTACTAAACCCTCTATCTCGAAAATTTCGATTTTGTGTTTCTTCTGCTAAAGAAAGATGACCTCGCGAGGCAAAGTGCATATAGCTTCCAAACATATTTGCGACACTCTCTCCTATAATACAGATCCCTCTAAGTGCAAAGTCTGCTGCACTAGATTTCGAAACCTACGAAACGCATTCTACAATAACTTGCGGGGGCCAGCAGACGAACAAATCAGTGCTTTTATCCTCGCAGACGACTCTGATACCGGTTAATTGACCACAGATGGATGGAAGGTTTGCTAAGGCTGAAATCGATCCGGGATCCAAACCCGTGACCATGCGCGCGTAAACTGCGCCACTTGTCACTACACCTCCTCTGCCCAATATTTGTGTATAATCATAATTACAAGATGTTGCGGGTACCTGAAGTATATACATTGAAGTGTGTAGCAGTTAAACTGGTTTAAGCCATGGGAGAAAGGGCTTAGAAGTCAGGCTATTGCAAAAGAGAGAAAAGCTGTTAAAACGATAGCAAACTGCAGAAGGTGTAGGAATTCTTAGAGAAGCCAGCTGCATGAGTGCAAGTTATACTGCCTATATACTATCCATAAAATTGCCTATCTAGTTTTACCACGTAGTTTTCGAACTATTTTCTGGGAATAATGGATAAAAGAGCCGTATCGCCGTAGCATATCCTTCAGTCCGAGGGAAGAGAAAACTAGAGGGCAGAGGAAGTCTCTGAGATGATGTCACAACAAGACTTTTTTCATGACGCCACGAATTCCGATCTCCTCGTTTACCAATCGTTCTTATCTTGCTGTCGCATCCATCTCTTACATGCTTATTGTTCCATGCATTTCTTTTTCGTCTTTCTCCAGCTCCGTTGCTGTACTGTTTGAAATCAAATGGAAACTTATTTATTTATCTATTTATTTCATACACTTAAAGGTGTGCCTAACTTAGAGAGCAGAAGTCTCCATCATAAAAATGAAATTGACCGAAAAACAGCAAGTTTGCTAAGATGAACATACAGAAGTGTTCTTTTGAAATTGAAATTCAAATTGAAAGGATTCCCCTCACAGATTTCCGGGTTTTCTTCTAACTTGACTTAAAAATATATTTCTTGGAAAATATATTTCCTTTTTACCACAGTACCCTATTTTCTTGAAATGTTCTGTTTAGTTTTTGCATTTTCCAACACTTCATCCCAGTGATACCCTTCCATTACCTCTTCCCATCGCATTTAAGCGCTTTATAGTCTTTTTGTACTTCTAATTACCTTATTCGACCTTTTAGTCTCTCCCGCTGACGACTGTTTCTCGCCATTCTCTCCATTTCTCCAAAAGCGCTGCCTGCCTCTTTGTATCGAACGCCTCTTTCAATGTCCTCATCAATTATGGCCTCCTCATCTGCTAGTTTTTTGGTTTCCTTCGGTGTTTCTCTCTCTGAAAGCCTTCGTTTCTGTCGTGCTGCACTCCAGTGCATAGATCCTCTAACCAAATTTTGAATTCATGGATTAAGCTTCATTCGCATCCCAGGTGACCCGTTCTGAAAAGCTGAACATTGTTAAAATGGAAATGAAAACGAAAAAAAAACTCTCAGTCAATAGAATTGATATGAACTTTTATTTGAACACCTTCCTTTTTCCCCAGTGTATGTTCGTGAGCTCCATCATGTCGTGAATATGAATACTGTCCATATGCAAACACCTTTTAGTCATGTATCGTGAGGTTCTCTGCTTTTTGGAACTCCATTCGAACTGGTTTTTGTTGAATTCCATTATTGGACAGTAGAGCCCTCCTACAATTATTGAAAAATGTTGAAAAATATTGGAAATTAAAAAGTATTTTTGGTCCTGATCTGCAATGGTCATTTTTTTGCCATCATCCATAAACAGATTTTTATTGATATTTTGCTGATACCGTATTGTTTATGGCTCTCGGCTGTCCATTCAGTACGAAACTTGCTGGGAAACCGATCTACGAACCAGTGCCTTGGTCGTCCTAGACGATTTTCGGGCTAAATGTTGCTTTCTGAGATCCGATCCAAGAGTATATCCTTCTTCTACACGAGTGGCAAAGGCGACTTCTACGACTACACCTCTGTCCCCACTATGCTTTCATTGTATTGTATCGTACCTCGAAGGATCTCTGAGGGAGGCTTGCTTTTTCATTACCTGGTAAGCAGCAATGGAATCCAGCAAGCAAGCTTTCCTCGGATATCCTTCGAGGTGGATAGAGAACAGCGAATCAGCTGGCGATGATCCGTTCACGTCATGCTCAAAAATCACTTTGATCATTTTCTATCAGCTTAATTCGGGAAATTTAATCTTTTTTGTTTTTCGTCTTTTAAATACCTTTACTGTTACTACATTCCACTTTTATTTTTCCTTTATTTTTCATCGTGGTGTATTGGCAAGCGGAGCACCTCACACACGCATGGTTACTTGCTCGAGTCTCGGATCCTAGGCCAACCAAACCTTCCATCCCTCCGGGGTCGGTTAACCGCAAGTCATTGTATAGGCCACACACGAATTCAATACGCCGCTACGATTCTGAATGAAGTCGATAGGGGAGCGCATCCCTCAGACGGGATCAATCAACGCCCCATAACTCTACCTTTTATACTTTTGTTCTTTTTTTATGTGTATGCCTTGACAAAAGAAGTTCAGCTCGACAAGTCATATTATCAAGACATCATTTGCAAGTTTTCTTGGGAAATTGGGGATAAGGTGCTGGTCACACGACTGCTTCCATTGTGACTTGTGACTGCTCACGCGGGCCGTGACAATTCAAGGTCTTTGTCTTTGGAAACTGCAATTCAGGTGTTTGTCATCACAAATACTCTCTCAATCGTTTTATTGTGCTTACAAGTTCTCGATTTATTTTCGCCGTTCCATATATGATATTGAATGACCAGCTCATAGAACTATTCTTGTCTTGGAGTTAGCACTATGATCAAATCATCAGTTGAGTTTTATCGACCACTAGGTCATTATTAATCTCCATAGATGAAAGGCCTTTTACATTCGAATGGCTTTGATAAATCACGCCCATACATATGAGTAGCATATTACTGAATAAATTCAAAATAATTCTCTGGAAGACCAGGAGGTCCGTAGATTAGTTCTCTATACACCGCTATCTCCATTTTATTGACTGAGAACATTTTTCTTTTGCACAGCCACAACGGCAGTTACCCATTCATCTCTGAAAAGAGACTCTCCGGCATATTTTGCACGAGATTTGCTCGAAGCGGATTAAGATTTATAACCAACGTTTATAGCTCCAGGAAAGCTAAGCTATACAACAATTCCCACCACACACCATTGTGTCCCTGACTTATGGTTTCTGTATCTTCGCGTTCAGTTATTATGTCTCTTTGGAACTGCCGTACCTACCAGATGTAACAGCATCCGTGTAGTCTACGAATCTTAGGGAATGAAATTTCTCTAAACGGCTTATTTTCACTAAACTCCCTCTAATCCCCACTGCTCCTTCACCCTGACCTCCCCCCCCCCCCCTCCCCCTCCAGTCTTCCATTTGTCTTTTGAAACTGTCATACCTAACTTCATGTAACTAGTAACTGCGAATTTGCCGTGCATGTGAGAAACTGATCCTTTGGTTATCGTTGTGAACGCGTCCATTATTCACTATATACTCAGCAACATCGTTCTGAGGGAATTGAAAAAGTGATTCTGTTCTTACCGTAGATTTCAATTTTCCAATTATATCCCTATTGTTTTTGTTTTTTTGTGTATTTCGTCGATAAATCAATGTTCTGATTCCACAGCCATTCGATAGCATTCAATTCGCTTTGAACTATTCTCTGCATCTTGTGCGTTACCATATGGGAAACCCTTCCTCAATGACGCCATTTCCCATAAACACTACGTTCTCTCATTATTCATCTCCAAGGCGTCGTCATTTTCTTAGGTCACGGAATCTATTGTAATGAAATTTATTGCTGCCACCTGTTTCGGGGTAAGGGTGGGTGGCAGCGGACACTGTCGCATTGAGTCTCAGTTCCCTGGATCAGATTTCTTGGGGTCCTTAAAAACTTCTGTCTCACTTATCAACCAGATATTACGAGAGGATCAGTTCGTTCATTAGGAGAAAAGCTTTTTTTTTGTTCACATATTTTGTGCTCGTTCGAGTTCCCATCAATCCATATTCCATGTATCGCATTGAAATGCATGGCGCATTCGTGGAAGTATCCCGGTTGTCAACTGTGTGCTGGATTTTAGTTTTCGAATTAAATGCCATTTTTTGAATAATCATGTTTGATGTGTTTCGATCTTTTAGTCACGATATTAACATCTCAATATCGATATCTCAATTGTTGAATTTTTTTTTTTGCAATTTATTTCATTTTTTGTCAGGACACAGCTCCTCTGTGTACTCATTTGGCGGAAGCTGATCTATTCTCGCTTTTTGACGAAGTAGGTGGGTGGGCGGTGCTGTTGCTGTGACGCATTCCGAGTGTGACAGTGTGGTGGTGGCGGTGGTGGACGACGTATTCAGTGACGGATGGACGTGTGGCGAGCAGATCGGTGGTTGCCACGAGGCATTGAATGGCATCAAATACCCACCAATTTTTACGACTTAGTCTTTCCACTCTACTTTGCTCTACCTCTTATTTTATTCAGGTAATAGTTATTCTAGAACTTTACTTTGAACTTTGTTTGGAGTAACTTTGAAGTAGCTTTTGTTCTGAAGAGTTGAAGCAATAGCTGACTAAGCCAAGAGACGGCAGTGCTCTCCTATTCACCACGAACACTATTATCGCGGAATTTGTAGTTCCCTATTGGGAGGGAGTTCAATCGATCAACCCATCGGCTTATGATAAGGGACTGTTACTTTTTGTATAGGCATTTATTTTCATCTACATACCTATCATCGATCGGTATGCCCAGGAATAAAGGAAAGGCAGCTGGAGAATTCAGAATAGGTGTCATAATGAGTTGGTTTATTCTATAGAATTCAAACAACATCAGTATGAAGGCTGTTGAGGGAGAATGCCCAACGTTCTTACAATTTTTCTCATTTCTTCAATCATATTAAAGTACCAGATTACTACAATATATATCACTACAATTGTTCAGGATCTTTTTTGAGTCTTTCGTTGGGGTTCCACTTGGTTTTGCTCTTGGCTACTATGGAAACTCATCGCTTATTCCGACGGTGGGTCATTTATAACGTTCTTTATGGCTTTTTTTTTCTCCATCACGAGAATGGCTCTGTTGGCACGACTCCTAAGACGTCATAGATGAATCAGATTTCGAGAAAAATTTTTGGAAAAATTGTCGCTTTCTTCTGCTTCCTGTTTCCTTGCCTTTGTCTCACCATACATTTTCGTGGTTCTAACTTGAAGTTTTACACACTTCTTCTTCACTATTTTTCTGCTACTACCGTAACTCTACAATCTGCTCGAGGTGCTAGCCTTCAGTTTCATTACAGTGACTAGGAAGTGCATGAAAACGAAGTTTTCCTGGTAACTGAGCAAATTCATTTACAAAAAAAAAACAATGTAATGAGTGATAAATTCAAGTCTACGAGGGTCAAATGGGAAATTTGTGACATGTAAAACTAAGAGGTAATTTCCTGTTGCCAGTAGCAAGCGTAGGAGGTGATTCTACACTGTAAATAGTCTGAGTCAGCCCTCATTCTTAACATTCCGAGCGCAATGCCTGTTTTCAAAAAAAAAATCGAATGAACGAAAAAAAATCGTTGCTTTGCTCCGCTTTGTTAACTGCAGCTGAAGTGGGAATGTAACAAAAATGATTGTTAGAGGTAGGGAGAACATAGGTTGTAGGTAGTCTCGTACTAGAAAGAATTTCGCTATGTAATCTGTCGAGTTGAAGGATCTGACCACCGATTGCACCTTCCTGTTCATGACGCTTGTGAGACAGTTTTAGTTGTACATAGGAAGTGGTGATATGATAGCTAGCGTGGCTAAGCATTTCGCAGTTTCTCCTTTTTTTTCTGAGATACCCGCATGCTTGATGGTGAACTTGCAAGTGTTCTCCTAGACTGCCAATTGAAAAGTTCATATCCGTTTGGAAAATTGTCGCGAAAGTCGCGAGTTTTCGAATCTGAACCGAATCCTGATAAGTCGGTCAATTCTCAAAGCTCTTATTCCGACTTTTTTGAGCCTAACATGAGGAGTAGCCCCCCATTCAATGAAGGAAAGGCAGCAGAAATAACTGTTAGAGATAAAGCGAGCGTATGTATGTAGTATTGCATAAATTCAGCTCAATCTATAAATTTACAGCCAATTGTGAGATGTAAGCCGACAGAAGCTATAAATGGAANCCCCCCCCCCCCCCTTCCCTCCCCCTTCCATGACATCCTTACGCAATTTGAAGATGAATCCAATAAAGTTAGTGACCGTAACGGTAAAAGCGAACATCGATCAGACTACCCACTCGTCGACCACTGAAAGCATCCAAGTATTCTCTCGACCCTCAAACGTAAGAGGGAGGATTTGGGAATCCCACAACGTAAGCTTTATCGCGTGGTTCTTTTTCAGAACAACAATCTTGCAATTGTGAGATAGCTAGCTTTCTAGGAGGAAAGAATCTTGACCGAAAGACTTGAATAGTTGTTACCATTCATTTTAACCACGATTTCCACCCAACTCACCATGATTTCATACAATAACTCACATTTAAGTGTCATCATCCCTACGTTCCCAGATCCTCATGTTCTTCAATGTGAAGCCTCTGATATCATCTTTCTTTTTAAGATATTTAATCATCTGACTGGAGGATTTGCTCGACAGACACGTTCAAAACGGATACTGGAGTGTTTTTGGCGATTCAGCTACTATACATTTGCCTTCATCTATGGATGTGTTGTGTTGTGGAATAAGTCATGGCTATGGGACGTCAAACAATGTTGGATTGGCTACCCTTTCCATCCTATTGATGATAGCGTATGGTTAGCCATAATTCATTTTTAATTATATGTTGATTATTATGAATGCCAAATGATTGATCGTTTCCTTTGTTGCGTATAATTACATACGTTTGGTTTTGTTTAATCAGCTTTAGAAAACATTGAATGGTCAATTTTGGGTCACTTTGCGTACCATGGGCTTCATATCACCCAGGACTGGAGACTGTGAATGGAGCTCCTAACCTGTGGTACTTTTTAAGGGCAGAATCGACCGCCAAGGAAAACTTCAATCTTAAATGCTTGGTGAAAGCAAGCTTACAAGGGTGGGAAACCCAACCTAATAAGGTAAGAAAAGTAGGTCACCTGGCCGTTAAAGGCGATATATAGACCGCCCTAGGTGCTCTCGAACACTAATCCCGGATCTGCGTTCCAAAGCTGTGAGAAGATTCTGGGAACAAGAAGCTATGGGAGTGTTGTCCTCCTAGAACCCTTCCCCTGAGGGTAGATATGATGAAGGTAGAACTGAGAGTACATGTCTAGGTATCCTCTCTTTTCTGCGGCTCTAGGGGCACTTTACATGGAGGGTTGGTGTTTGGCCAGAGTGCGGCCTTGAACTGTACGTTGAACACAATTATCTTCGAAAGGGAAGTGGCCTTTGAACTATAACACCAGAGTTTTAGTAGTTGTCAGGGATGTCACCAGAAACAAGCATGGGGATTTCAGCATATGATGTGCATTCTACCTCATACAAAAGTCTATGGGTCATAAGGTTCGGTGTGTATGTCTAATCTTACAGTGTCCCATTGGATATCACATAGCGCAGCGTCATTCCCACTCTTGTAAAGTGTCAACAGAAGAAACCACTCCCAGGCTGAAAAAAGCCTATGTGTTCATAACTGGGTAGCCTGATGAACTTGAGTTTTTATCTGGATAGTGCATGGGGCACCACTTCCAGGCTGAAAAAAGCCCAGACAGCCTACATCCATATCCTGCTCACGTAAAACGCACTCACGTGCCTAGTGCCTATAACTGGGTAGCCTAATGAATTTGAGTTTTTGTCCAGATAGTGCATGGGGCATGCGCGATCTTGACGAGAATTCGCAGTTATCGGGATACAAAACGTTAAAATGAAAATCTAAGGTAAACAGCTTTTGAGAACTGNTCCATATCCTGCTCACGTAAAACGCACTCACGTGCCTAGTGCCTATAACTGGGTATCCTAATGAATTTGAGTTTTTGTCCAGATAGTGTATGGGGCATGCGCGATCTTGACGAGAATTCGCAATTATCGGGATACAAAACGTTAAAATGAAAATCTAAGGTAAACAGCTTTTGAGAACTGTAATGGTAAATATTATTTCAGGTGGTATTACATGATCGAGACGTCATTCTATTACTCGTTACTGTTTGGCTCAATATTTGATGTGAAACGATCTGACTTTTGGCAAATGATTATCCATCATGTCGTCACTATTGGACTTCTGTCCACCAGCTTCACCATCAATTTTGTAAGGTCAGCTTCCTGATCATTCCCAGATTTGATTTTACTAGTTAATCGGTCGACGATAGTGGTGGCAAGTGCCGAGGTTTAGTCAATCTTTCATAGTACCTACATTATCTTCACTGCACTCGACCGGGATGATTCGGGATAGACTAGGATAGAGTGGCTCAAACCTCCTCTGAAAGCCGAAATTAGAAAGGCACATTGTCAGAAGCCATATCTATCGGGCCTCAGAGAGCGTCTGATCGGGAATGCTGCAATTTTCTATGAATTACCATAGGTGCATGTTATATATTGGCTCACGGTCCATTCCAGAAATCTGACTGACAAAGTTTATTTTATCAATTCTTTGTTTATTTGTGGCACATTTTCGCTTGGGTAGCTTGATTTCTATAATTATACATCGCATCCACAGAAACCGGCCCTCATCAATTAATTTCGCCGGGGCAGATCTTTATATCACCGTTTAGACAAAAAAAAAATAAAAAATTGTGCAGACGAAGTACATAAATGAATGAAAATTGAAGGAATTCAAGACCACGGAAGTGTGCTTCTTATGAATTTCTTTTCAAGCAGAGCAGCAAGGGAAGGCCGAGTCTCTTCCCTACAACTTCCCCCCCCCCCCCCCCCCCC